CCAGACCAGAGAAAAGGGTAACAAATTCTTCATTATTAAATATGATTGGAGGTCTTATGTTTCTCCTTTCTCTATCCCTAGTTAACTGATAATCTGCAAGTGTGGGATCTGAAGACTCCACCTCAATTTTAGTTTCATTTTGATCAGGGTTTTCCTCAGACTGAGAGGTCTCCACCTCAATTAGACCATCTAGATTTTCAGATTCATCAGTTTTGATTTCCAGGGTGGTTTCTTTCATTTGTGCAGGTTCTAAAGTTTTAAGATCAGTTGATTTCATACAAGGCATGTCATTTTCATTGAAAATGACATTTCTACTAATTATGACTTTAAAGCCATTTTGGTCTCTAACCCACAGATTGTACCCTTTAGTTTCCTCTCCATAACCCAGAAAAACACACTTTAAGGACCTGGGTTCTAGTTTTCCTTCACTCTGATGTGAATAAGCAGTGCAGCCAAAAACTTTAAGTTTACTATAATTAGGAATTTTTCCTGACCATATCTTTTCAGGGACTTGAAAATCAATGGCACTTGATGGACTTCTATTTATTAGATAAGTTGCTGTTTTTAGGGCCTCTCCCCAAAAGAACTTAGGAAGACCAAAACTGTACAACATACATCTCGCCTTTTCCAAAAAGTATCTATTCATTCTCTCAGCAACACCATTTTGCTGAGAAGTGTATGTTACAGTTCTGTGTCTTAAGATTCCATTATCTTTACAAAACAGGTCAAATTCAGAGTTACAAAACTCAAGACCATTATCAGTCCTTAAAGCCTTGATTTTCTTATTTGTTTGGTTTTCAATCATTAATTTCCAATGTTTAAAGGTTTGAAAGGTATCAGATTTTTGTTTTAGAAGAAAAGTCCAAATATTTTTTTTGAAAAATCATCTACTATTAGAAGGTAAAATCTAAATTCACTCAGAGTATTTACAGATGCTAGTCCCCAAAGATCAGTATGTAAATATTCTAATATAGAAGTAGATTTATGAATACCAGTTTTGAAAAGCAGTTTCTTTTGTTTTCCAAATACACAATTTTCACAAAAGTCCAAACCCTTAACATTGTCTTTACCAAAACATCCAAGTTTATTTAGAAGTACAAGTCCCTTTTCTGAGATGTGGCCAAATCTTTTATGCCAAATTAAAGACTTATTAGATTCAGAGTTTAAGGATGTAGAACAGTGATCTGTCATAGATTTAGCACATACAGTATATATACCATTTACCTTTTGAGAGGATGTTACAGTTTTACTTCCTTGCATAAGAGTTAGAAGCACTTTCTGAATCATAATACTGTATTTTTCATCAAGCTTACCCAAGGAAATAAGATTTCTTTTTAACTCAGGGACATATCTAGTGTTCTCAAGTTCTAGGGTACAACTGTTATTTAGTGAGAGTTTGACCTTCCCAATTCCGCTGATTCGACAACTCATGCCATTTCCCATCTGAATTTGTCCTCCATTTAGGTCAACAAATTCAGAAAAACAGTCTTTTGTGGGACACATGTGAAAGGTGCAACCAGAATCAAGGACCCATTCATTTGGGTCTCTTCTGGTAGTTGTTGCTAAAACAACCCCTTGAATATCAGATTCATCTCTGCAGGCAACAGCTGCAGATCCCTCAGTATTAGACTTATCTTTTATATCTGAGATTTTTTTAAAGCAATCTTTTATTACATGGCCAGTTTTACCACAGTAATAACATTTCCTGATCTGGTTTTTTGTCTTCCATTGATTCTTATTCTTTTCTTTAAATATGGAGAATTGAGGTTTACCTTTCTTATTTGAGTTTTGATTGAAGGGTTGTTGTTTCTTATTTTGATTCTGTCTCTCTTTTATGAATAACCCCTCACCATACCTGGAGTCTTTAGACTCAGATTTTATTTCAAGTTCTCTGTTTCTCAGAGCTTAATAGTAAGTTCCTGCCCCCATATTCTAATGCATTTCTAATGTCTCTATATTTATCACTTAGTGAATTTAACAATGCCACAGCTTGTTGATCATTAGAAATTTCTTCTTAACAATTTGTTAAGTCCTGAATCAGTTTTGTGAATCTGTCAAGATTTTCTTCCAGATTTGAGGTTGGATCAAATCTGAAATTGTAAAATTACCTTAGAAGGTAGCATTTATCAAGCATGGTTCTAGTTAGATATAATGTACCTAACTTAGTCCAAAGAGCCTGAGCAAATGTAGTTTCTCCAACTTTCCTAATTACACTATCAGACAGGAGCAAGAAAATTGTGCTCCACGCAGTGTCATCTAATTCCTGTCTCCTATAGGCACTAGTTTCTGCAGGCCAATTTCCATCAATGGCTGCAACACATCTCTGCTGCAGCAATAGTGCTCTCAGTTTTTGGCGCCAAAGACTGAAGTCTCCAGTACCATTCCATCTCTCAACTTCAAATTTTTGAGACGTGGACATGATGACAGATTATGTACACAAAACAAAATTTATACAACACACGGAATATATTGATTTAAATATTTTATTGAATTAACAAAAAAATGACAGAATGAATAAAGCAAAAAATTATAATTGTATCTACTTATCATGCAATACACAGTTCAATTCAGAGAGCCCAAAAAAAAAACAATCTAAGAGTGGTCTAAGGAGTGAAAATCCTTACAACCCACTACTTCCTCAGATTTCCAGATCCTCATAGGGGATCTTGGACAAAGGTAAGCAGTGGAGGATTAATTACCTTAATGACCAGCACTAAACAGATTACAATTACAATTTAATAAAAAGGGGTTTTTCAGAAAATACCAAAGTCTGAAAAACTCAATGTTTCAGAATAAAGAGAACAAAGAGTAAGTGACAGAACCGGAACAAGGAGGACAATGCAGGTTCAAGAAGCCAACGAGTCACCAGAACTCAGTGTGAACTCAATAGTGAGTCAGGAACTCACCACAACCCGGACCAAGTCAACTCAACTCGCTTCAACTCAGTACAGAAACAATAGATCAAACAGGTTTAGAACCGAGTTATAATGAGTTAATAACGAGTTAAAAATGATTCATAAGAAAATTTAAAAATTCAGCTTTCAAGAACAACAAAAACGATTTTCCAGAAAACCAGATCTGAGATCCCTAAGAACCATTTTGAAAAATATTGTTTGAAAAATTTCTTTTCAAAAAGATTAGTGGCTCTGATACCACTTGTTATGTCAAAACACCCTAAGAGTTTGTTGGATCGTGAAATATTCAAAATAGAAATAAACTTTGCAGAAAAGAAATCGAACACAACGATATGTTTTTGCCCTCAAAAGAGAGCCCGAATGTTCAGCTTTCACCTAGTCACCTGTTGAGCATCTCCAAGGGAGATATAGCTCAAGATTTCACTAAGAAAAACACCAAGAATTAGTACAGATGTACGAAGGAACCAAGTTCTTCGATATCCCTTTCGCCTCCTTTAAAAACCTAACTACAAAACTCTCAACCACTCACAGATTGTACACGACAATCTATCAGACTGAGAAGGCCACGAAGAACATTTTCAATTTTTAGAGAAAAGAAGAAACCCTAGTCTCTCACTCAGAGAAGAATAGAAGAGGCGAAAGGACAGAATCATTGAAGCGTCCAGAATAAAAGCCAAAATCAAGATAAATATCTGATCAGTCAACTACCACAATCAAATGATGTATGAAAAAAAAATTCATTTCCACTTATGGATTGCAATATACGGTCATCCATCCTCAAAAACGAAATAGATTTTTTTACCAACATCTAGATATCCACATGCCAAGATGAACGTAATAATTATTCACAGACAAAATGGGAATTTTGACTCTGATTCGGAATAGCATATTTACAGACAAAAGCTAAGTCTCAGCTTGGTGAATCGTGAAACCAAAATGATGGGGAATGTGAACCGTAAGTATAGATTTAGTTGTTTATCAAATTGACATACAAATAATTGCAGCATATTCTCGAACCGTGAATCAAATATGACAAGAATTTATAAAACAATTACATTTACAAACTGGAAATACTAAGATCAGATTATGGATTTCTACAGCAAAGACAAACTTCTGGATGTCTGGATAGTATAGAACGAATAGAAAGATGATCAACTCCACAAAAAAAAATGGGGATATGTTTTGCCAAAAATGATGCTTTTTTGAATTCTGCAATGTGTTTTGAAAGGGCATTAAAGGTCGCGTAATACTAGGGATAATTATAATATAAAATAATTTCTAAAATATTTATCACATCACAAAGTAGTAATTGCATTTTAAAAATCACATAGTAAATACTAAATTTTTATTTTGTAACGTTGTAGGTACAAAAATTTCCGTACGTTATACTGTTGGATATTGGTTAAATAAATTGAGAATTGAAAATCGATTAAAGTTCGTATCGAATTCGACCAAATACTCAAAAGCTCGACTCAATCCGTTTAGGCAAAATTGTTTGCCACTTCGCCGCTTCGGGGCGCACAAACGGGGATCGACCTGCCCGGTCAGGTCGCGAGGGTCGAGGGGGCAGCGCCCCTTGTGGGGGGTCGGGGGCAATGCCCCCGAAAGAGAATTTTGATTTCTCTGCATGTATTGAAAGGTATATTTGGCATTTCGAAAACCAATATCGGATGAATGAGAAATTACGAAAAAGACCTCAACCATTAGTGAATAGACACCTTTTCATAAATATGCATTGTTTGGAAATGGTGCATGGTTTGGTCTCAACCATTTCGTCCACACCCCTTCATGGTCTATAAATAGGACCCTATGGGTGTTCTATTTCTCACAGTTTGATATGCAAAAACGTCTCTCATCCTCTCTTCTATCCAAAATCAAAATCATTTCATTTATTTTGATTTTCTTTCATTTCATCTGTGGAGTACATAAGCCTACATTTGGTTCGTTGTACTTGTGTTTTGGAGTGCTACAAACACAAGTGTAGCCGTTGTATCTTGGGAGTCGATTGCCGAAATCCGTAGGCACCGTTGCGGGGCAAATTCGACTTAAGGACAAAGAGTCCAACTCTTGCCTCGGCTTTGTCACCATCATTATACTTATTTCGGCGTCACTATTCACAAAATTCTTCCAACAGAATTCGACCAGTTGCACGAATGTATTCTACCTGCACAGCAGTTTTCTCTTCCTGGCGATTTTTTCTAGCCTCAGCAGCAGTCCGCAATTCCTCTGATTTATGCCTTACCAATGCAATCTTCTCGACCATCTTTGATTGAGCTTGAGCTCTCATTTGCTCAACTTTTGCCTGAAAACCACTTTCGTTTATATCCACAATGCCAAAATATCCTTTCTATTTGATTCAATTTCACCATAATAAAACATAATATTATGATGCAGTTGTTCAGAAAGCCAAACCAGTCCAAGGATTCAAGAAGTGATGTGAATGTGATTATACCGTCTCAATCGAATATAAATCAGAGAATAAATGAGGAATTTATGTGGTTTGGCCTTTCACCTACATCCCAGAAATTCCAAATCCAAAGGTAGAATACTGAAGAATAAAAAGTACTCAACCTCAAGAATGAACATGCCAAAACTACATAATAGGTTCCAGACCTCCTAAAGAAGAGAGCGAGTTGGCTAAGGAAAATTTATAATTCCTTTATTTATTTATTTATTTTTTATTTTTTTGAAGAATTTTAATTACTATGATGTGTAGTATATTTTGAATCATGGAGGAGATGAGGAAGAAGCTAAGATACCTCTACTTTCCTCATCTCTGCTTCAAGTTTTGATTTCTGTTCACTTTCCCATGCTTGGATTTTTATTTCATCCCGTCTAAACCTGTCAATAAGACTCAATTTCAGTCAATAAGTTGCATGTATTGGAAAGGTATGAGTTCAAAGGATGTTCATAAACTTCAGTGTCAGTATGTAGGAGTAACCTGACAGAATGTTTGGACTTCTCAGCTTCTTCCCATGCAGTTGCTCGTTTTGAATACTCGATTCTTCGAACATCATCAACCTCAACAGTTTCATTTCCAGATATACTTTTCTCTTTCTCGTCCTTACTTGCCCAAGCAGCAATATTCATTTTACCCAGTTGGACACCTAGGGCTACAATCTCTCTTCTCGTCTTGAGCTTTTGGTCTTGTTTGGACGACTCTTCTTTCCCATTTGCAACTTGGTGAAAAAATAAATAAATAAAGATATGTATCAGTTGAAACACATTCTCGAGTCCTATCTGATGTATTTTTCATAAGTGGTAAAGTAGTCTATCTCTGGATATCGGGTGGATGAATTTGGGTATTTCAATATCCAGAACCACCTATTTATATCGGGTATTTTGTAAATGAAACCTTTCGAGTCTTTGTAATTATTGAAATCAAACCCAAATCGAACTATCGATTCAAATTCAGGTTCAATTATAACATATTTCTTATATCTATTTGTTAAACATTTTCATATAGACCCTCTAGATACGTGTACTTTAACGCCACACTCGATAGTATTTGTGCAAAAAAAAAAATCAGCTAAAAAATCTTCAAGAAGCTAATAAAAACAGTGACATGACTAAAAAGTGAGAACTAAAAGTCAAGAAAAATGAGAAAATTAAAACATCAAAAATTAAATTAAAGTTTGAGAACAAATGATTTTTTATTTATAAATCTTATTTGATACATAAGGGAGGCATGCTAGATACTATAATTTAATTATAGACGATGCTTAGATTTTCCTACTCTTAAAATGCACTGACATAAAAATACTATTAAAACCATGAAATCGAGATAATCAAAAATTTATACCACATCCTAAGTTATGAATATATCAAGTTCAACCGCTGTGAATTATAAAAAATAAAAAATCACTTAAGTTTGTAAACAATGTAAGAAAATAAAAGACTTGAATTGTAAAGAATAAACGCTTTGATTTTTCAACTTACACCACGATCATAGCTTGAAGTTTTTTTATTTATAGAAAGCCCAAATTGTAAATATGTACCAATCTCTGATATACAAAAATCTGATATGATGCAGAGTGCAGTCTCCTTATGAATAGATATGTACCAATTTAGATCATTATCGTCCTGTATCTCTGCCGGAGGTATATTCAAATTCGGGACTTTGAACTTCAATTCAATTTTATTGCGGGGTTCAACAATACCAAATTTGTCCTTCAATCTTAACACAAGTTCTGCTACGGTAATGTTTCTAGGCGCTAAAATGGAAGTTGTTTTGTCCCCTCTCCACTTCTATTCGTCATCCACGTGAACAAAGTTTTCCCCATGCGATACGATGAATCTCAAATCCTAAACCATACCTGAAATGTTGGGAGTACAAAAGTTAGAATTCTGCACATTCATATGTCGAAGGATTTAATATAGTCCAATTGGCGCATTACAATACTTTGATCCATGTAGTACCAAAAAGAGAAAGCTTTTCAGGTGTCAAAATCGACAATTGAATTCTCTCCATTCTGACAGTTACTAAATGTCGATTTCGACAGTTAAAATGTCTAACCGGACAGTTTTTACGAAATTGCTCAACAGTTGAATGGCATAAGTTTCGGGGAAGCTAAAAATCATGTGTTTTACTATTTTAGGAATTTTTTCAAAAACATTAATCGTCATAATCAATTCTCAACTACAACTTCAACTGATCTTCCCACACATAAAGAAAGTATAACTCAATACTTCATTAAATATGAAATTACATATGAAATCCTTCACATTTTTTTGAGAATATTGATATTTTTTCTTTTTCTAAAATATACTAAAAATAAAATACATCAATGAATAAGAGATGAAATATGGACAATTAATTCTGACCATATTCTATTGAATATTTAAAGTAGTTAAGTATGACATGAAAAGATTTCTTTTCTACTATCTCACATTTGAGATTGATCAATGACTTTCCTTCATGCCCTGTTGATAATAGAAGGGGAATGATGAAGAAAAAGAAGCTATTTCAACTCCTACGTGTGTGTGTTTATTGTACACATTTCACCCATTTTTTTAATCAAAAATTCATATTATACAATATAATATTCATTTATTCAATGTTAACAATAAAGATAAATAAATAATCACATTACACCATTAATTGCATTCAAATCAAGCATTTATTGCTCCTTAAAAAGTGTCAAAGGGTAAGATGGACATTTTGTGGAGAAAAAGTGACATTTTTGTAAAAAAAAAAAAAATTGTTCAAGATAAAATTTTTTGTGTATTTTCAAATTTAGTGACATTTATGTAAATTCCCCTTTTAATATTATGAAAACCAGAATATTGTTGTAATCAAATGATGTATGAAAATAAAATTCATTTCCACTTATGGATTGCAATATACGGTCATCCATCCTCAAAAACGAAATAGATTTTTTACCAACATCCAGATATCCACATGCCAAGATGAACGTAATAATTATTCACAGACTGTTTCGCGCGGGTTCATCGTTAACAATTAAAAAGGGATCAGACGATTGTGTAAAAGATAAACCTGTTGAGACAAAGTCCTAAAAAGGGGTGTTCTTTATTGGCGATGACTTTACAATCGGAAAGTAAAAACAGAATGCTTCCAAGGGGCACAAGCACACGAGTTACTGAAAGAAGTGTTTAAATCTAAACTAAGAAATTTAAAATTACATGTTCTCTGTTCGAGAGTTTTTGATTCCCCTCTTTGCTTTATGTCTTTCCTTCCTTTTATACTCCTTGGATGATCTCTTTGTGATCAACCGCCTAAAAACTGCTTGATCATTCTATAACTACCCACTTTCCTCGTAATGGCCAACTTATCATGGAACTGCCTTTTCTAACTGCTGCCATTACTCTTTGTCGTTCAACAGTTTTCAATTGAGTTCCTTGAATCGTGGAACGTGATAGGGCTGCTTTAATAACTGTTTTGATAATTGTGCTTCTTGATAACCACAACACTTCATGTTTGCTAGGACCTTGGGCCACTCGAAGGTTTGGGCGAGAATAGAGTAACAGCTCTGGGCGACTACATGGCACTCCATTGGCTCAAATCCTGGGCGACTCGCAAGCTTGGGCAATGGTGTTACCGCGTTCATGGGCCTCCCTATTTAGGCCTTCATCTTGAATTGTCTGATTGAGCTTCGTTCTTTAGGCTATCTGATTTGGGGATCCTCCAATTGGGCTTCATTCCTTGGGTCGTTTGATTTAGGCTGAATTTTTATGTGTCAACAATTACCCCCCAATATGGCAGAATTAATACCAATTATTAAATTTTGCCATATTCACTTTGTGTTTCCAACAACATTCGAAATTTCCAAGAATTTCAATCATTATTTTCTTCCATAGTTTGAAAAGGTGCGACGTTTTGCAAACCCTTATAACCCCCAAATACGCCATTTCACTACACCATTAAATCACGCCTCACTTTTTCGCGTTTCTCTCCCACAATTTACTGTTCATCTCTTTGCTTCCCTGCTACGTAACTCTGAAAAACTCCGTTTCATCCCTAATGGCTACTTCACAATCTCAATCTGGCGACTCCTTTAGTTTTGATGACTTTCAGAAACTCCTTAATCGTCCATACATAACTCCGAATTTTCTCGCGCCTGCCAATGTCGAACTCAATGAGTTCTACCTAGGTCCTTTCTTCAACAATGCAAAGGCAGTCGAACAAGTGACGGTGGGCCAGCTGTTTCCTTGTACTCAAGGCCCTCCATTTCTAAACTCTCTGCCGCTAGGGCCACTTCGCGAAAGAGGTATTCGCACTTGGCCTAAATCTGATGTAGTTTTCCATAGGTGACATGCTCGCCTTGTGGACCATGGTTCTACTAAGGCACTTTTTGATAATGCTAGGATTTTTGATTTGTTAGAAATCTCTCTTCAACCCCCTACTTTTGATTCAGCACTTTTTTCGATCGCTTTGAGTTTTTGGTCTTCTGAGTATAATACCTTTGTTTTCCCTCTTAGCCCCATGTCTATTACTTTAAGGGATGTTGGGGCCCTAGTGAATCTGCCACCTTTGGGCGATACCATTTTTCCTGATATCTTGGTTTCTGGTGGCGCCCCAAAGTTTGGTAAAAACCTCACCAAGTCTTATTCAAGCCTGCAAACCCTTCATAACCATTCGAGCGCTGAGCCTTCTCATACTGAGCGAGTGACCTTTCTTTTGGTTTGGCTTTGTAAATATATTTTGTGTGTGCCAAGTATAAAGCCTTCCTTGAGTTATTTGCTCATAGCGCACAAATTGGAGCGTGGCAGGCCTTTAAATTTATGTTCTTTCTTTTTTGCTGCCCTCTATAGAGGCATGGCTTCTCTTCAAACTCAATTGAAGAATGGTGTATCTCCTACTGACAGTGGACCTCTTTGGTTCACTCAAATGTGGTTGAGATCCTATTTTCCATTGCTTGGTGCTCCACCAATTTCTCGTCCTTCTGCTAGCTACTAAGAGCTAGTCATTGAGTCCCTGGCTCCTGTAAATATGTCTAGAAGTGACATTTTTTCATTCTTTTATTCTTTGGATTAGTCCCTTCCTTCTTTCCTTTTCCTCCCTTTTTGACTCCAAACTATGTGCATCCTCCCTCCACTATGGACAGCGCGAGCACCTCTCTGCTCATTTGGATCCAATTTTTAACCGGGAGGGAGTTATTTCATGATATTTTAACTGGGACCAATGCCAAGACAGGGATAGAAATATATGCTCCTCAATTTTTTGCTCGCCAACTTGGTTTCGACCAAACCTGGCATGTTCCTCCTTGCTATTCAAGGAACTTGATAGACCGTTTCCATATTATTAATAAGGCGGAGGCAGAGGTTATAAATGCTCGCAATCTTCTTTTGACGAGCCATTTTTCATTAGCCCCCTTCAATTCTAGCCATGCCATCCATCCCCTTTTTGAGCAGCTCTGGCCGTCAGTGAAGCGCAGATTGTTTTTTATACTGATGCCAATCGTGCCTTTCATTCACTGGAACAGCCGAGCATTTCTTTCCCTCCTCCTATTTTAGTCACTCCTTTGTCCATCCGGAGTCCTTCTCCTCCTCATCGCGCTAAACAGTCTGCTCATCCATCTTCTTCTCTCCCTGTCAAGCCTACTACAGCCAAAAGTGCCCCGAGCCGCAAACGGCCAGCCTCAGCATCTCCCATTCTAGAGGATGATGTTGATGATGATGATGATACCCCTCTTATCATCAGGAGGAAGGTAATTAAATTGGTTTACTCACAAGCATACTTTTCCATACCTGAAACTTTTCTGTGTGCTGATGATTTATTTGGATTTCAGAGAAAAGTTCAGCCTCTCCTTTAAAGGCTTTGGCATCGGCTGCTCCATCATCCTCCGCTGAGGCTGCTTCATCCAAACCAGCTGATGAAGGAACTACGCTTAAAGATACATCTTCAGTCCCAGAATCCTCATCACAACCAATGGATGAGCCACTTTCTTTCTAGGGCGTCAACCCCCCAAACATTGAAGTAGAAGGTAATTCAGTTTTTTGATGCTTTACCTTTGCTTGTGCTATTGGTTTCTGATTTGTTGCTTTTGAGTTCTACAGATGCTCCTATGAGTCTGCCCGTTGTGGCAACATCTTCTCGCTCAGACAAGGAGAAGTCCTCACGAATGGTGGAGCCACAGGTGGCAGACTTGGCTGAGGATATGCCATCTTCCACGATTATTGATGAGGTAATCTTTGCTTCACTTTTATTTCCATCTTGTTCGTTGTAGTGAGAATTTTCAATATTGACAATTTTCTTTGCAGGATGCTGATAAGATTGTGCGTTCCATCCAAGATTTGTTCGCTTCCTGGGAGCAAGTCAAGACATCTCGCCATGCTCCAGCTGGTCGTCCTGCTACTTCTTCAGAGGAAGATATGAAGTTCCTCAAGCAGTCGATATTTGAGTACGTGTCCTTCATGGATATGAACATTGGTAAGGCTAGTGCTGCCAGATATAAAGATAAGCTTGAGTATTTGAATGCGAAGTTGGAGCAAGCACTGACACTTTCGTCGCTCAATCTTTCTGCTGATTTTAAAGCGACATTGAAAGTTATCCATTCCGAGGTCCTCTCCTTGCTGGCCAAGAATGTTGAACTGAATGCCAAAAGTACTCAATATCTTCGCGCCGTATCTGAAAAAGAGTCTTTGCGTCTGGAGATCAACAAAGTTGAGGACGAGTTGAAAGAAATCTCTTCCGAAGTCATGATTGAAAACTCTTTGATGGCTAGTTTGGCTGCTCAGATGAAGGAACTTCAAGCCAAAATGGACGACTGCAAGGCGAGAATTGCTAC